CAACCCAATCCATTCTGTGATTCTGTGGGTTCGTGGTGGGTTTGATGATCTCAGAGATCTTTCCCAACCTGAATGATTCTATGATTTATTGCATGGGAAGAACATTTAGATAAGAGACAAACAACAAATGCAACATTTCCTTGCCGCTACTCATCATATTTCCCTGGTTTCTTTCCCCCTTTCCAACCAGAAATTGAAGATTTTCCCTGCCCAAGCACCTGAGTTACCTTTCACTGTGAGGAAGGCTGAGGTCACAGCATCACTGCACATGAAAGTCACCCTGCAGCTGTCCTGGGGAGTTAAATTCTTCAGCAGCAGGATATGCCTGAGTCCATTTTCAAAGTAAACCATCTCAGTGTTTTCTGTGGTTTTGGCAGGCTCATCATCAATCAGCCAGTTGTAATTGTAGGTCTCAGGCTTGGAGAGGTAACACTCGAACAGGGCTTCCCCTCCTTCCACAGCCTCCACATTCTCCAAGCCCTGGACAATGCTGTTCTTGGCTAGAAAAGAAGGACAATTAACAGTATTAATTATTTGGCCATATATCTCTGAATATTAGCAAGCCTCAGAGCACTGGATGATTCCCACTGCTGCAAAGCTGGTGGAAAAATGTGGATGTGATAAACTGTGCTTGTAGGTTTAATTGTTGATTGCAATATGTGCTCTAATGAAGTGTTACAATAAAAAGATTTAAAGACAGTTTAAAAGTAATGGTAAACCTCTAGACCCTCCAGCATTTCAACTAGAGCCTCTAGCATTTGACCCAGATTTCTTCAAAAAACTTGGTTTTTATAAATAAAGGAAAAAATGGACATATTTGTATGAATCAGGCCAATAGTCAATAGGAAGGCATAGCTCAGAAAGATAAAGTGCAAATTCCTTTTGTCCTATGACAGTTTCCCAAAGATCTCCCTGACAGCACAATTATCATCATGATGGGGGAGATGTGAATCCACTGACAGCTCATGATAAAATCTCATTACTTTTCTTGCAAAGCAAATGTAAGAGAATGTTATGGCTGGCAAAGCTATAGTGACATTTATCTGAGATAATTCTGCCTCTAGGAAACACACAAAGTCAAAATCTTTATCAAGATTACTTTGAATGGTAAATTTCTGAATTATTGTAAAAGCTCTGTGACATTGAGGTTTATTTTCCCGTGCTGTGTGGTGAGTTGTGGGGTCAGAAACGTGCACAAACCTCCACCCTCCAGCCATGCATCAGCTGGCACCTGGACAGGAACAATTAGCTCAATGCCAAATTAAATGTGGGCTGGTGCATGTGGGTATAATTCATGTTGCTACAGGGACAAATGACATGCACAAGGGTGGGGACACACGGTTGAGTAAATACAGTTTACACAAATGCCATAAAATGGTCAGCATGATTTGTGTTATCAACCAAGACCCCGAGACATTCCTGTTCAGATCTCTACAGATCATTTGGAACCATGCCCAGCAAAAAAAACATTAGTAAAAATAAATAAAACGTTAAAAACCTCCAAACAGGCATTTATTTAATGGTAAAAACAAACAAACATACCCAAAAGGCATAAGCTACCAGATGTTTATTAACTTATTACTGATTGCAAGGTGCCCAGAGATGTTGTGTGTGGACTCCCCATCCCTGGAAGTGTCCAAGGCCGGGTTGGATGGGGCTTGGAGCAACCTGGGACAGTGGAAGGTGTCCCTGCCCATGGCCGGGGGTTTGGAATTAAATGACCTTTAAGATCTTTTCCAACCCAAACTATTCTGGGCTTCTATAATACTAAAAATATTCTGAATTTTATAATATTCATACTTATGGAGGGCAATGAGGGGGTTGCAGACTCTTCTTGGAGAATGTGTAATTTTTGTTAGAACAACCCAAATTGTTTATCTGTGTACTTTGGAAGCACTGGTTTCCCTAATTATGGAAAGCAGCCAATTGCTAACCCTACCTCCTCTGGCATGCTTTTAGATTATGTTCATTAAAATCTTTTTAAATCCCTACAATGGAAAGTGCTTATCAATGTAGAAAACATTATAATAAATAACACCCTGTTCTTCTGCTCTAACCAACTGCAGTTAAACAAGAAGGCAAAATAGCCACAAATATTCAGAAATCAGAACCTGCTGTTGCTGATCACTCCAATTCACTTGGTAACCAAACCCAGGAATTCCATACGCAGCAGAAAAAAAAAAGAAATTTCCATGTAAAATCCTAACTTTTTGTTAATTTTGTATATATTGTTCTTCAGGGTCTCCACAATTGTGAGTGCTCAGTGAGGAGGTAATTCCTGAGGGATCACTGAAATAGGTAATTTACCTAACTCCTTTACTCAGCAAAATAAAATGGAATTCCACGCTACCCATTAGTTACTGGTTTCATGTAAAAAGTGCTGTAAAAATTGCTCTTTAATAGCAAAACAATATTTGTGTTATTGCTTTGGACCAAGAATACATCTGTGATTTTACAATTCAGCAGGACACATCCCAGCTCACTGCAGAAGAGGTGGAGTGGCTAAATGGTGCAGTGAGTGTAAATTAGAAATAAGATCACCCTGCAGTTTCATATTCAACTCACCTTACCCTCAACTATTTTTATCCTCATTTTCAGTACTGGAGTGAACACCAAGAGCAGGTATCTGATGTGTCCCTTATTGCAAAGCCTCGCCATGATTTTTTCTACCTCATTTATTTGGAACCCATGGTAGTCTTCCTCTCTGGCTGGAAGACCTCACCTTGAACATCAAGTGTAGCCATCACTTTAATGCCTTCAGCTTCACAAGAATAGATTCCAGTGTCTTCTGGGACCGTGGGGTTAATTTTTAGCATGCTCACATTCCAGTCCTGATCGATAATCACTCGCTGCCCATCTGCATGTATTTCCTGATCATTTTTCTTCCAGATGGCGTGCACTGGCCTAGAATATTGGCATATGAACTCTGCTGGGCCATCTTCATCAACAGTTATGTCCTGCATGGGACTGACCACTTCAATGGTGGGATCTGTTAACCAACACGTCAGGAAGGACATGCATTAGTGGATCCCCATGGAAATCACCCCTTGGAGGGTTTTTGCCAAGCACAGAGCCCGTGGGGAGCAAGCAGAGTGGCACTGCAAGCAGGGGGATTAGCAGTTTAGTCTGTGCCTGTGTCAGCATCAAGCAGGATGGAAGCCAGACTGGTGCATTAGAACATGACCATGGGAAATGGGCCACCAGGAATTATAAGGCTTGTGCTGGAACAGTCCTGAGTTTGGACTGCTTCTCCAATTTGGTGTTTCTCCCAGTGTTTCTGAGATCTTCCAGGCTGGGGAGCACTGGATGTGAAACACTTCTGCTTCCCAAATGTGGAGCAGAAGTGTGATGCAGAGGACTGCAGGGAGTGGTTCCCTGCAACTCTCAACCTCACAGAGCAATAGGAAAATACCACAAACCTTACTGGAAGCTCCTTGTGTGACTAAAATATAACTACTCATCAGAAATAAACACAGTCCTCAAATGCAGGCACTCATTCCTGTCCTGGGGTGGTCTTGGCTGTCAGAAATCACGTGAGGAGCAAATATCCAGGACAACTGTGACAAAAAAAAAGCCAGAAATCACGGTAAGAACAAAATTCCAGGACAACTGTGACAAAAAAAAAGGGCACTCCACAGGAGCAGATGAAAATTGTTTTGACTTTTTGTGTGTTTCTCTGCAGCAGACACATTATTTGGAGAAAAACAATAGGATTTCCTTTACAGTATTTAATCTAGAGATCACTGAGAGATCATAAACCACTGACATCTCAGACTGAGAGCCCATAAAATGCTGAGAGCAGCTGAATATGCAGCTCCTTTAAGGTGGTGAGATCCATGAGACTGCTCTTAAACACTTTCAAAACCCAAGTTCTGCTTCTTGTGAGGCAGCTGCAAGACACAGTAGATATATCTGACCTAAAATACTGTGAGTTCCCAAAGCAGCCAAGGGTCCCTCCTGAGATGTCAGACTGGATCATCCATCTACAACGCAATATTCAGGTCAAAAGGAAAAATCTCAATGCAGTCTGAAAATGGAAGTCTCTCTGAAACATCATTCTTAGCAGAATTATGTCAGCTTAAAAAAAAAAAAAAA